GAGGGTGGGGCCTTCATAAATATGATTAGTGTCCTTATAAAATAGATCCCTTGCCCCTTCTGCCATGAGAGGATACAGAGAAAAGACCCCCTCTATGAATCAGGAAGTGGGTCTTCACCAGACACTGACTGAATCTGCTGATGCTTTGATCTTGGACTTAACTGGACTCCAGAACTGTGAGAAATAAATTCCTGTTCTTTATAAATCACCTAATCTCGAGTACCGTGTTAAAAGCAGCATGAACAGACTAAGGCAGGGAACTTTAAGTTCTTTTTCTAGGCACACAAGCATATTCACACAGATGCATATGATCTGAGTGGATGGGATGACTGATTTATGCTTGCTTGCAAAAACAGGATGTCACGACATACGTGCAAAAAGTTCAACTGCAAATGAAGACCACTCATGAGCTACATTACAGACATACAAAACAATATAATTCCTTCAACAAAACTGTACTGATTGTTCACTTTTTCTAATAATACAACATTTTAACTGTAGAAAAAAAATTAACCTGCAGGAAAATTTTATATAGATCTGGGAAAATTTAGCCTGAAAAAGAAAGACTGCTCAGTTCAATAATTTCATGATTATACCTTTTTCAATAGGAATAATCGACTATATCTTATCAATATTTTATAGCTCATAAAACTTAGCCTGTTAAGTTTGCAAAGTCTGCATTCACTATGACTCCCACTAATCTTTCCAGTCTTCTCAAGTTGAGAGAAGACAAGTACCTGCTTGCTGCATAGATTCCTCTCCATGACAACAAGGCAAAACAAAACATTTATTATAGACAAGTGGATATTAAATTGCTCATGGCCTTGCCTTATTTCAGAAGCTGGAAAAGCTACAACTCATTTTCTTGATAAGGCAGCAAAACGGCAATGGGAGTAACATCTAAGGAATGAACATAGGTTGACTGATAAAGAGAACAGAGGTAGCAATTACTAAAAGCAAGTCTTTCTTGTGAAATGAATTTGGTCAGATAAAACTACTCATAAAACCACAGAGAAGAAAGAAGGCAAGTCCAGGCAAGTGTTCCTGTAGTAAAGCCATTTATAAAATTGTCACATAAACCTTTTCTCTTGAAAAGGTGAAAATTGACTAATGAAGAAAATATGCTAAAAAAATAATGGTGAGTTTTAGTAATTTTCCTCAAAATTATAGAAAGTGACAGAACTAGAACTTGAGTTAAATTTCATGATTCTGAGTTAGTTACATACTATAGTGCATTATGACCTAGACCAGTGGTCGACAAACTGCGGCTCGTGAGCCACATGCGGCTCTTTGGCCCCTCTAGCGTGGCCACGAAGTTTCAATCGCACTGTATGTGCGCGCCCGCACGTGGTATTTTGTGGAAGAGCCACACTCAAGGGGCCACAGTTTGCCGACCACTGACCTAGACCATAGATAACTCATTTTAGCTCAAAATTATTTTTAGAATGAGTAAAATAATAAAATTTAAGCAAGATTTTGCATTTAGCCAGGACTGTAATTGAGATCTAGGTTGCAATCTTAGCTTCCTTAAGTATTAGGGAATTATTTAGTTTCTCTGAACCTGTTTTCACATTAAAAAATGAGAATAAAACATATTATTAAAAAGAAAACAAACAAACAACAACAAAAATTTACCATTAGACCAGATACATTGAGTTGTTGGGAATATAAATATGAACAACAGGGTGAGGGAAATAAACGGTAGAAAAAAACAATACAGACAAAATAAAACTAGTAAAAGAATGAGAAGGGCCCTGGCTCATGTGTCTCAGTGGTTGAGTGTCGTCCCTTGCAGGTTTACTGAAAGGTTGCACGTTTGCTTGTCAGTTAGGGCACATACCCAGGTTTCAGGGTTGATCCCCAGTTGGGGGGTGCAGGAGGCAGCTGATTGATATTTTGCTCTCACATCAATGTTTCTCCCTCTCCCTTCCTCTCTCTCTAAAAATCAATACAAAAAATAAAAACAAATAGGAACTAATAGCTACAATGAATGAAAAAAAAAACAAGAAAAATAAGGTTCTGATATGTGCTTAAGAAATACTATCCCATTTCATACCTACTTCCCCTGCTAAATTATGACTTAAAAACACTGAACATGAATAGTATTTAATTTGCCCTGGCCAAATGGCTCAGTTGGTTGGAGCATTGTCCTGTAGATCAAAGGGTTGCTGGTTGAATTCTGGATTGAGGGTTCAATCACTGATCTGAGCACAAATGGGAGGCAACTGATGGATATTTCTTTCTCCCTTCCTTTCTAAAAGTCAATAAAAATAATATCCTCGGGTGAGGATAAAAAAAAAGGCTTATTACTGGGAAAAGAAGATTATTTAATTCACCTTCTTGAGTAAACAAAGTTATATAATTAGAGTATGAAATATTTACTATAAATTGCAAGATTGAAGTACAAGCACTTTATGAATATTAGTTAACAGCATGCCTGAGGAGGCAGTATAGCAGATTCAAGCAGGGTCCTCCAGCCAGAAAGATTGTGTTCAATCACATAATTTAAGATTGATTGAGCAGAATACTTAACCTCGCCAAGTCTAGTTGGAAAATGAGAACAATATAAGCACCCATTTCACTGGATTGCTATGAAGATTTAATGACAAAGCTGTAATACTCAGATCAGTATGGTATTGGTATAAAAACAAGCACTTAGATCAATAAACAGAATACAGAGACCAGAAATAAAGAAACCAGGAGTATACAACGAGGAAAGGATAACCTCTTCAATAAATGGTGCTGGGAAAACTGGAGAGCCACCAGAGGCAGAAAAATGAAAGTGGACCACTCCCTGACACTGCTCACAAAAATCAACTAAAAATGAATTAAAGATTTGAACATAAGTCCTGAAATAATAAAAATCCTAGAAGACAACAGGGGGTAACCCCTTGACACTGCTCTCTTGGCAATGGATTTTTGGATTTAAAACCAAAAGCAAAGACAACCAAAGTAAAAATAAACAAGTGGGACTAGATCAAACTAAAAAGCTTCTGAACAGCAAAGGTAATCATCAGCAAAATGAAAACAAAACCTATGGAACAGGAGAAAATATTTGCAAATATATATCTGTATAAAGCATTCATATAACTCAATAGCAAAAAACCAAACAAACCCCTCCCCCCATCCCCCAATAATCAGATTAAAAATGGGCCCAGGAACTTTTCCCAAAGACACAAATGGCCAACAGGTAAATGAAAAGCTGCTCATCACCAATCATCAGAGAAATGCAAATGAAAACCACAATGTAGATCTCACCTCACACCTGTTAGAATGGCTGTCATCAAAAAACAAGAGATAAGTATGGTCAAGGATGTGGAGACAAGAACCCTGTGCATTGCTGGTGGGAATGTAAACTGGTGCAGCCACTGTGGAAAATAGTATGGAAGTTCCTCAAAATTTAAACATAAAACTACCATATTATCCCTAATTCTACCCTGAATATCAGAAGGAAACAAAACCATTCTCGAAGAACTATCTGCACCCCCATATTTATTGCAGACTGTTTACAACAGCCAAGTCATGGACACAAACCAAGTGTCCATGGAGAGATGAATGGATACAAAAAATGCGGTGTATATACACGATGAAATATTAATCGGCCATAAAAACGAAGAAAATCCTGTCATTTGTATGAATGGACCTTGAGGGTATTAAGTGAAATACAGTCAGATAGAGAAAGAGAAATATCGTACACTCTCACATTTTGAATCTTAAAAAAAAAATGAACACATAGCAAAGATTGATCAAAAGTTACAAATTTCCAGTTAAGTTCTGCAGATATAATGTAGAACATAGCTTTTAGGTTGTTTGTTTTTTTTTTTTAAATAATGAATAGTTTTTGACATATTTCAGTAAGGGATTAGGAAAAATGACAAATCTGATGTCTTTAAACAGCTCTCTCAAAAGTTGTTTTTATTTTTTACTAAGCTATTTCTACTGAACCATGTGTTTTGTAAAGAAACCTATCATTTATTTTAATAGAAAAATTTATTGTCAACTATAGTAAGAATAAAAAGTGCTTTTAAAAAAAAGATAAATGGAAGACACTAGTCCAAATAGTTGAAAATGCCTTTTAGAGTTCAAATCTATTTTTTTTCAACTTAAAATTTTTTTAATCTTTATTGTTTAAAGTATTACAGCTGTAAAAAGGAGGTCAGCATTTTTATTTTTCCAAAACATGCTGCTATATAATATTAGAGCCCTGACAACAGAGATGAGAGGAAATAAAGTTAAGACATATTTAGATGTTAAAATCTACTACAGTTGTTAATGACTTGAACATGACCGCTAAGAGTTGAAATATAAGGGAAAGGAAGGCATCGTGGATGGCATTCAGGTGTCTGAGGAGTTTCTGTAATAATCCAGAGGAAATTTCAAATGAGTAGGTATTGGGGACCCTATGAAAGCTTGGCTTCTTGAGAACATATCATACTCCAGAATGGCCGAGAGAAGAGGGAAGAGCAAGACTTGCACCAATAAGAGTTGTAAACACCAAAGGTGCTTTCTGAGAAGGGCACCTGCGGGCCCAGGTGAATGACGGGAACCGTGAGAGCCGGCCCCTTCCCCCTGCACCCCCCGCAGTGGCCACACCAGTTCCAGCCTCCCCTCCGGAGCCTGCACTCCCCGCTAACTCCTCCGGCGCAAAGGTCCCGGCGCCGCAGGTGAGGCGGCGGGTGCGCGGGGGCGGGGTCCTCTCGCCAATTCTTCACTCGCGCCCAGAGGAGAATCTCGGCCGCGCGCACTTCGCTCCACTGCACAGAGACACATTCTGAAACCAAAAAAAGGCTAAAACTTTTTTCTCCGTAGTCTTCCTACAGAGAGCGGCACCCGGGCCGCAGCTAGCAAACGCCTAAGGAGAAGGTGGGGTTTCCCCACCTCTTCAGACTCGCACCGGCCCTTCCTCCCCAATGGAAAGAGCTCCCCTAAGCCGGGACAGCTCCCCTAAACTCCTCCCCGGCCGCTGACCGCCCGCCCGCCCATACCTGCGAGCGGTTCCACCAGGGGGTGGCTTAGGGAAACCTCAGGAAAAGCGGGCCGGCGAGCAACGCCACCGAAGGGACAGTCATGGTCTACCTCGTCCAGGTCAGTAGCGCAGACGCGCCCCGGCCGCGGCTGCGCCTCCCGCCTCCGGGTGGATCCCCCACCGCCCCAGTTCGCTCGCAGCCTCGCACTGCACGCCGGGAAAGGCCTCCCTCCACTGTTCCGATACTTCAGTTCCCAGGATGCACAAGCTTCCAAGAAGAACTGCACCCTGGGATTTGGAGTCCTAATTCTACGCCTTGTCCTCGTCCTTAACGCAGAGTCCTGGGAACCTGCTGGGGGATCTAAACGTAAAGCATCACCCACGGTCGTGAAATGTAGGCTCTTTTTGCATCCGGGACCTTGTCCCAGCCTTGGCTGGGTGGAGAATGGTGTCGCCTAGCAGCCGCCGCCTCTATTGCTTGCTGGGAACCAGTTGGCGGGATCCAGTGTCCGCTTGGAACCGCGCAGGGGAGCGGTCGGGCGTAGCTGCGGGCCCGGCTTGGTGGATGCGGTAGATAAGAAACCTCCGCTGGTTGCCAGGCGTGCTAGGTGGATCCTGGTGAGCAGGAGCAGCGAACCTCTTCCCACGCAGGTTCTTTAAGCCTCAGGGCCCGTGTGCAATAGCCCAGCTTCCCCGCCCCGTAGTCTTTGCTTCGAATTCCGTCTGCCTTCTTGCTTCAGCCCTGTTTACTCCGACCCAGATGCACTCCTTTCAGTCGTTTATTTCTGCACTCCACCTCACGTCCCACCCCGCCACCCCTCCGCCAATTCCAGCTCCTCTGAATCAGGGGTCAGCCTTCCAAGCACCCCCGCGCTTGGCACGGTCGCGCGCCTTGGTGGTAAAGAGCTTGGAGAAGGTTACTCGAAACCTTAGTTCTGACCTAAATTAGTTTTAGCAAGAGAGTTGTCATAGTTTATATTTAGCCGGTACAATAATTGATGGTTTGTACCAACTGCTCTAATTTTGAGGAAGTCTGTTTTACTCACATATTTGTTACACAATTAAGGAGCCATAGCACAGCTCTTTGCTAACACCAGAGTTATAATAACGTAACCTCTAAAAATTGTAAAATACTGTAAAAACAGTAATGCTGTTTTACCTTGAAAATGCTAATATCCACCTGTTTTGTTTCAGACGTTAAAGCATTGCTAAAGAATTCAAGATGCCACCTAATATAAACTGGAAAGAAATAATGAAAGTTGACCCAGATGACCTGCCTCGTCAAGAAAAATTGGCAGATAATTTATTGGTTTCTTTATCCAAGGTGCTTAATTGACAAATAATGCGTAGATATAAACATATAACTATGCTGAATCTAAATGGTCCGTGGAGTCATGAGCGGTTTAGCTGGAAGAATTTTTATGTTTTGCTTGAGGGTTATAAAATATAAAATAGTTGCTTTTCTGTTTACTTAGGTGGAAGCAAATGAGCTAAAAAATGAAAGTCAAGAAAACGTGATACACCTTTTCAGAATTACTCAGTCACTAATGAAGGTTTGTATGTAGTAGGTTTTAAAAACAGCTTTGACTATTAGAAAAATTTAATGATCTGTTCTTAAATAAGTTAATCTTTCTGAACGTGCCTAAATCACCACTAAAAAAGATATCCTCACATGTGATTTGAGAATTTTAGTGTGTAAAACATTGCTAGTTTTTGCTCTAAAGTTCCTAAAAGAACATGTAGGGGAAACAGAATGGGTATGCTTAAAAATAACATAGGGAGGTCCTCTGTTAATGATATTAACATAATCCTGAGGTAGAAATGAAAAATGCAGATGACTGCTATAGGGATTTGTTAGAAGGGGAAGAGAGTTAAGTGTGAGAAGACCTCATAAAGGTCAAAGACTGATGTTTTAGGTAAGTGGAAGGCAGTGGGAAAATGTTAAGGAGCTTCTAGAGCTGGAGGCTACCATAAATAAAAACTGGGAATTGAAAATGTATATTCTTTACAGTTGAGGAGACACGTGCAAAAAGTTTATAGCAGCTTACAGAGGAAACATGGTGGGTATTTGTATAGTTTCACAGCCTTGTTATTTTATTTGTCAGCAGTGAGGACTCATTAAGGGGTTTTGAGCCACAATTGATAGGTACAAAAATATGCATTAGGAAGGCTAATGCGGATATGTTAATAGGACAAATTGAAGGATATAACATAAAGAAGGAGACTAAACATAAAATTATGGACTAGACCAGCTGTAGGCAAACTACGTCCTGCGGGCCGGATCCAGCCCGTTTGAAATGAATAAAACTATTGAAAAAAAAGACCGTACCCTTTTATGTAATGATGTTTACTTTGGATTTATATTAGTTCACACAAACACTCCATCCATGCTTTTGTTCCGGCCCTCCCTCCGGTCCAGTTTAAGCACCCATTGTGGCCCTCAGAGTCAAAAAGTTTGCCCACCCCTGGACTAGAATAATGACAGAATTGAAAAAAGAAATAGAAAAGAGAAAAAAAAGATATTGGAAAACATTACAAAAGGAAACGCTAGGAATACTTGATGTAAGACTTGAGAGAAAAAGAGGAAACAAAGATGTTTTAAACTGTTAAGAATCTAGAAATTGCCGAAACCGGTTTGGCTCAGTGGATAGAGCGTCGGCCTGGGGACTGAGAGGTCCCAGGTTCGATTCCGGTCAAGGGCATGTACCTTGGTTGCGGGCACATCCCCAGTGGGGAGTGTGCAGGAGGCAGCTGGTCGATGTTTCTCTCTCATCGATGTTTCTAACTCTCTATCTCTCTCCTTTCCTCTCTGTAAAAACTCAATGAAATATATTAAAAAAAAAAAAGAATCTAGAAATTATAGCCTTAAGAAGGAAATCATGTGGTATTCATGTAACAAATATTTATTGAATGTCACTGTGTGACAAGCACTGCAGACACTAAGTATTGGGAGAGCAAATAAAATTCTCATTTTCAGTTCTTACATTTTAGTTTAAAGGCATATTAATGTTAGCTTTTTTTTTTTTTTTTTAAATACTTAGATGAAAGCTCAAGAAGCAGAGCTAGCTTTGGAAGAAATTGATAAAGCCGGAGAAGAACAAGCAAAAGTTGGTAAAGACCTTGAGAAAAGTTTATGGTATTAAGAGATTAGCCAAAGAACATATGTGCAAATTCCATGAACACAGACAACAATGTGGTGAAGACCACAGGGAGGTGGGGTTGGGTGCTGCGTGGAGGTGGGCAACGGGAGGGAAAAGAGGAGACATCTCTAATAGCATCAACAATAATTTTTAGAAAGTTTATGCTGTTAGTGGAATCCATTTATTCACTAAACAATAGAGAATTAGCTTTAATATACTCTATAAAATTTGTATATCCTATTTTGAAAGATCACTCCAACTTTATGGGTCTGGTATAAAATAGTATTTTTCCTCTTACATAACAACCATATAAAATCATAATGTAATCTTTAAAAAGAATTAATTTTATTGAAATTTATTTAAAAGCTTGATAAATCTGACCATTTGAAACATTTATTTATTTATTTATTTATTTATTTTAAACAGAAAATAAATTCCAAACTGAATTAATGAGACTGGAAAGTGAACTGGAGGTATGTCCTTTTGTATTCTCTAGGATATAATTGTTGTTATTTTTATTATTTGGAATTGTTTTTATATTTTTATTTTTATTGGTTGGAAAAATCACAAGAATGATATTATATTCATACTTATTTGTTCAATATTTATTTTACATGCCTATTATGTACCTTAAATTCTATTAAGAATTGAGCATTCAATTGTGAACAAAATAAAAACATTCAATAATCATATAGAGGCTATGGTTTAGATAGGTATACAAAAGATTACTAATAACTGGTAGAGTGAGGCATGTGGAAATTTGAGGAATAGTGACAGAAGGTATAATAGAAGCATCTTTTGAGAAAGCCAAGCAAGAGTCAAAATAAGAAATTTATTGTTAAGGAGCTGAATATATTGAGATTCCTGAGAATGTGGGACGGAATGTGATACAAATGGGTTAGATTTTAAAAGGAGGAAGGGAGCATGAATGGATGTGTACAGAAGCCTTTAGTTTGTAGGTTTTGTGCCTGGAAATTGAGAGAATGCAGAGAAGGTCATCTGCTAAAATTAAGAGTAGGAGATGTGTAGTCCAGTTTTAAGGAAGTCAGATAAAGCAAGACATATAGAGTTTACTAGATCTGGAGTAAGACTATGTGAGTTCAAATCCTGATTCTTTTATATGTTAACTCAGTGAATTTTGTTTTTTATTTCCTATTGCATATTCTGCTTCTAGGATAATACCAACTACTCTCAATACTTACTAAGTAAATTAAAAAGTCTGAACCATTCTGTGTTAGTGTATGGCCTGAGAGTTGCTGTTAGAAGAATAGAGCTATTGGAGATGTTGGTAAGAAAGTGGTTGAAGTGATGATTATGAAATCCTAGCTGAATAGGCAAGTAAGTCAAGATTAGAGTGGTATGAGAAGTTAGGGAGAAGAGGAGTCAAGGGATTAAAGGGTCCCATGAGGTCAAAGGCAGATATCTACACTAATAAAAGAGAAACATGCAAATTGGTGTCACTCCACTACACCTGCCAACCAATCAGGGCAAGTATGCAAATTAACCCAATAAAGATTGCGGCCGGCTATGGAGCTGGAGGCTTGGGTTGCCCCCGATGATGGAGGAAGCCAAGCTTCCTGCCCGCCCTGGCCGCCGCTCAAGGAGTGGCTGGGGGCCTGGCTCACCAAGGGCGACCCAGGCTTCCAGCCTGCCCTGGCCGCTGCTCAAGGGAGAGAACAACACACAGGCACGGCCAGGAGCCTGAGAAATCAATACAGAGGGGCGCCTGTTCTAAGCCTCCATGGTGCAGCTGGGGGCAGGCTCCCAGTGGACACACACACACACGGGGCACCTGCTCCAAGCCTCTTCTGCCAGACTGTAGGACATCTACTGAGGGCTCCTGGACTATGAGAGGGGGCAGGCTGGGCTGAGGGACCCCCACCCCCCAGTGCACAAATTTTGTGCACCAGGCCTCCAGTCCTGTAAATAAAGCAGATAAAGCTCCTCCCTGGAAAAGGTCCTGGTGTGGGTGTGAGAGTGGGAATTAATAATGAATTCTAGAAGCAAGTTAAAAAAAAAAAGGCCAAGAATGAAAGTTTTCTAATCTAATAAAAGACAAACATGCAAATCGACCATACCATCACTACACCTTAAGCCACGCCCACCAGCCAGTCGGAGCAACTATATGCAAATTAACCCAACCAAGACAGCGGCTGGCAGCCATGGAGCAGGAGCGAGCAGGAGGCTTGGTTGCTCCAGTGATGGAGGAAGCCAAGCTTCCTGCCTGCCATGGCCGGTTCTGAGCTCCACTGAAGGCAACAAAGTTTCAATTATAGAAGGTAAATAAATCCCAGAATAAAAAAAAAAGGAGAGGCTGGGAGCTTCCGTCGCCGTGGGGCCTTGGCCAGCCTGAAAATGGCCCTCAGCCCCTCACCCAGGCTGGCCAGGCACCGCAGCGGACCCCCACCCTGATCCGGGACACCCTTCAGGGCAAACCAGCCGGCCCCCACCCATGCACCAGGCCTTTATCCTATATAATAAAAGGGTAAAATGCAAACTGACCCTAAAAGCAGAACACCTAGGAATGACTGGTCACTATGGCACACACTGACCACTAGGGGGCAGACGCAAAATGCAGGAGCTAACCCTGATGGTCAGTGCACACCCACAGAGGGAGCTCTGCTTAGCCACAAGCCAAGATGATGGCTGCCAGCACAGTGATGGTGGTGGGAACCTCTCCCGCCTCCTCAGCAGCACTAAGGATGTGCGACTGCAGCTTAGGCCTGGTCCCTGCTGGCAAGTGGACATCCCTCGAGGGCTCCCAGGCTGCCAGAGGGATGTCTGATTGCCAGCTTAGGCCCAATCCCCTGGGAAGCGGGTCTAAGCCAGCAGGTGGTCATCCCCCAAGGGTCAAAGACTGCAAGAGGGCACAGGCCGTGGTGAGGTACTACCCCCCTAGTGCACAAATTTTTGTGCACCCCGCCTCTAGTCATATTAATAAAAGCCCAGCAACCAAACAGCAGAATGACCAGAATGATCAATCAACCAGTTGCTATGATGCACACTCACCTCCAGAGGGCAGATGCTCAATGCAGGATAAGCAGCACTTCTACAGCAGGCAGATCCCCACAGGCCACGCCTTCCACCAGTGCACGAATCCCATACACCTGGCCTCTAGTATAGATATAAATATTGCTTAGAGCAGTGGTTCTCAAACTATGGGTCCTGACCCCTTTGGGGGTTGAACGACCCTTTCACAGGGGTCACCTAAGACCATCAGAGAACACATATGTAATTACATATATTTTTGTGATTAATCACTATGCTTTATGTTCAATTTGTAACAATGAAAATACATCCTGCATATCAGGTATTTACATTATGATTCATAACAACAAAATTACAGTTATGAAGTAGCAACAAAAATAATTTTATGGTTGAGGGTTACCACAACATGAGGAACTGTATTAAAGGGTCGCGGCATTAGGAAGGTTGAGAATCACTGGCTTAGAGAGTCTTTTGATGGAAGACTATGACCATGTGCCAGAAATTCTCAATGAATTTTTTGAGTGATTGGGAAGTTGGTAGTTTGCTTCTGTCCTGAGTAGGTAGAGATCTGTAGCTGGGTGTATTGAGGTTTTGCAGAATAATGCAGGGATGATAGCTTGGAAGTTGCATAAGTAAATCATCACCTCTTGACCCTGAAATATATAGATGTAAATGATCATTTTCTGATTGACAGAGTTTCAAAGCACCTTAGTATACTAATGGAGCCTATTGCAACTACAGCAAGGATTTGGAAAGGATGATTCTGTAAAAAAGGTTGAGGATGTAAAATATTACCTTATCTTGAAGAGGATTTTCAGTAGCATAAATGAAAATTTTTGAAGCATGGAGAAAAGGAGGTAAATTTAGTTAAGGTAGGGTAACAGAATCTGGTGAAGAGATGAATGTAAGACAGATAGGATGACCAAAGGATTCGAAGTTTTGGATCATGACCCAAAATAACAGGAATGTGAAGTGAAATGGATTTAGTCTGCTGCAATATTTTAAAGATAATCAGATGAATAATTAAATTCATTGTAATTAAAATTAAGCATTCAGTTCTTTAGTTGCACTAGCCACATTTCAAGTGCTCGTTAGGAACTTGTGGATAGTGGCTCCTATGCTGAACAGTGCAGAGAACATTCTATTCTATAAAGTCCTATTGGATAACACTGCTCTAAATAGTCTGTGATATAATAGTAAGGGCAGGTTCAGTCAGAAAAAGACAAGTATCACATTTTCTCACTTATTTGTGGAATCTGATGAACAAAATAAACTGATGAACAAACTAGATCCAGAGGCATTAAAGCATGAAACAAACTGATGAATTTCAGAGGGAAGCGGGTAGGGGGATGGGTAGAGATTAACCAAAGAATTTATATGCATATACGCATAACCCATGGACAGAGAATAGTTTGATGAAGGGCTGGGGAGGGGGCAGGGGCAGGGTGGAGGGGGGCCAATGGGGAAAAAAGGTGACATTTGTGACACTTTCAACAATAAAATAAAATTAAAAAAAAAAGAGTAAGGGCAGGTTAACACCAGGGTTCAGTGACTGGGATGAAGGTTCTGGTAGTTTGTAGCCTGGTTTCAGAGCTCTGCTATTCAGGGGAAACCTAGATAGTTCATCTGTTTTCTGTGCCTTGGCAGTTTAGTTTGGCTCAGAAGCTATAACAGAGCCTGAGTAATTCACCGTCTGTTCTTCATAGGTCTGGGTGGCTCAGGAAGAGCTTAGAGGGTTGTCATCCTATGAACTAAATCTTAAATAAGCTAAATTTTAAAATATATTTCTTAAGGTAATGTGACTTTAAATATTATAATATACATTTAAAGTCAAGATAGTTGTTTGTTGATTTATTTTAATCTCTAAATATGGGATTAATTTGTACTTTTGGTTTGTTTAAGATGGCACAACAGTCTACAGGTGGACGTGACACTCGGTTTTTACGTGATGAAATTCACCAGCTTGAAAAGCAATTGGAACAAAAAGATAGAGAATTGGAGGACATGGAAAAGGAGTTGGAGAAAGAAAAGAAAGTTAATGAACAAGTAAGGCACAGTTTTTCAGTGAATTTTAACTGTTTAAGTAATCTAAAAAACACCTGTTTATGCTTTTTATAGTTATTGATAACTATCAGTTTTTATGGTCGTATTTTTATGTGAAAATTGATGTAAACTTATCTCTAAGGTTTTATATTATAAATAGAGGCCCGATGCATGAAAATTCATGCAAGAGTAGGCCTTCCTTCCTCCAGCTGCCAGTACCAGCTTCCCTCCTGCACCCGGGTCCCAGTTTTCCCTCCTCCAGCTGGGCTGGTTTCCCCAAGGCCGCCTGCAGGCACCTCGGACCGGGCTGGCTTCCCCCAGGCTGTCTGCAGGCACCCGGGACCCGGGCTGGCTTCCCTCTGGCCCTGGCTTCGTCAGGTAGGAAGTCTGGAATGACGTCCGGGAGACGTTGGTCTAATTAGCATATTACCTTTTTATTATTATAGATTTGTGTGGTCATCACATCTTCATAATGGATCAGGTACTTCTAGTGAATATGACTTGGAGATTAATTCTTTATATTTGGAGGTATATTTTTCTCAGGATTACAATAGTGTTACATAAAATTTATTATTTGGTCTGGAAAATTGGTATGAAGAAATTAATAGACATTTAAAATATTATTTTTTATACCTGCCATAGTTTATTTTGGGAAAAAAGGTATTTTTTATAATCCATTTATATTAGTAATAGACTTAGAAATTAATCCTTTAATGATGTATTCATAATGATTAATCAGATTTCATGTTTTGAGGTGTACTTCACATTATGTAATCTATAGGTTCTTAAAAAGTTGTGCTAATGCCAGCATTTTGTAAATCAATGCATACTTTATTTTTTTTCCAATGCATACTTTAAATCATGACATTTCATCTTTTATACGAGCATAATTTCCTCTTACTTTAGTCCTTATAAAATAATTCAAGAGTGTTCACTAAAATTTTGTTTGAGGAAAACATTTTTTTGTAGATAAGTTTGTATTTCCTGTCAGAAAATAACATGTTTTAATTTTGGCTCAGCTGTCAGTAAAATTAGTACAGAATTGGATGCCTACCTGTGGTAACTGTTCCATACCTGATGCCCAGAAGCTTTTCCTACCTTTGTGTCCTTTAGAAGGTCAATGTTGTATTACATCTTGATAATCTTCTTCCATCCATTGGTTATACATTTTAAGTAAACAACAGAGATTTTTAGGTGATTTGCTATTGAAAGAGAATCCATCATAAATTAATTTGTAATATTATCCCATTCTTGTAATATTATCCCAACTAATATCCCATTCTTGATACATCTATTTTACTATGTAATTTTGAAGAATCATGCAGTGTAAAAAGTATGGATTGATGCCATCTAAAGGTTAGGATTAAACTCTTAGAGCATTGTCTGTTTTGTTGACTCAGTAAAACATAACAGACCTATGGATTTCTTAATAATCATAACGGATCCAACATATGCTATATAGTAATACAGTTGCTTAGGGGGATGTCTGTCTGTGTGGTTTTCTGTCTGGCCCATATATTAGTCAGCTTCTTACTACTCATATCACACACCCTTAGCTAATCATAGCTACCTGTTCATTCAGATCTTAGACTACTATCTTTATTCATAGGCACACACACAGAAAACTTGAATCAGGCCTACGTACTTTGCAGCTGTTAGGTTCCGTAAGATGGAATATGTCTATGAATTGCTCTGACAATTTCTTTTTTGCTCATAGCCAGTCATTCAGTTTTACTGAGTATTTACAGCATGCCAGATAATATGCTAAGTACTAGGGATATAGTGGGCAACTATATTCTGTTTCTCCATGATATTCACTGTCAATAATAGTTGTAACATAGAGATAATATAATACTTTGGGGGTACATATGTATATAAGAATATTTTGGGATACTCTGGGGAGTAATACCTAAATCAGTCTTAATATTCAGGAAGTGATCTGTAAACTGAGACCTGAAGTAGGAGTTAGCCTGGCAAAGACAATGGTGGTTAAGAAAAGCTCATCTGAGTAGACGATAAAGAACTTGCTAAGACCTAGAATATTTATTTTGGCTTGAATGTAGATAAAAATAGCTAGTGTAGAGTTCTTACTATGAGCCAGACACTACATATACATTAATTGAATATTCCTCATTTGATACTTATATGAAATAGGTGACATTTCTTTCATGCTACAGATGAAGAAACAGACACAGAAAGGGTAATTGCCCATAGTTACACAACTAATAAGTTATAAAGCCATGATTTGAATCCAAACTTACTCAAGAATTTGTGCTCTTAACCAATGCACTATATCCTGCCTTCCTGTTTTGTTTTGTTTTTTAATTAAAAAAAAAAGTGATTTTGGAGAGGAAGGAAGAGAGAGAGAGAGAGAGAGAGAGAGAGACATCGATCATCAATGTGAGAGAGATACATTGATTGGGTGCCTCCTTATGAGCCCTGGCAGGGGGTTGAACCTGCAGCCTTCTGGTGCACAGGATGACACTCCAACAAACTGAGTCACATGGTCCAGGGTCTGCCCTTCATGATCCTCTGGAGAGCTAAGCAAAGGCCTGTTCCTGTTCCTGGTCTTTTATTGAAAGGAGCCAATGAAGAATTTTGAATACAGGGATATCATGATCAATTCTATGATTTTAAAGTTTACTTTGTAGAGAGTGGATTGACGGGAGTAAAGACTAATTAAGAGACATTTCAGGCAAGTGTTGAAGTAATGACTGAGTGGGGGGGGTTATGGACATAAATACATTTGAGTGATGTAGATGTAATTGGACATGATGGATTGCTTGTTGGTGAGGAGGGAGAAATGGGGAGTCCACCTAATTTTCTGGGTTGGGCCACTGGATAGATGGAGTACACGAGAAACACTGGATAGATGATAAGGATTTGTAGGTTATCAGTCTAGATATTGAAGCTGTAGAAATTCTTGTTAGGCAGATCTCTGAGACATAGAAATGTCTAATGAAGACGGAAGAGATGCTTCAAGGAACAGCTCAAGAAAGGACAACTATCAAGAGTGTGATGCTTCAAAAACCAAGGGAAAAAGGGCGTAGGTAGTGGTAAATGCTTTACCTTAAGTTCTTGACATCTCTCCACTGTTAACACGTTTCAATTCAAAACAGCAAGACTGTTTCTTAGCTCCCATATGATAATAACTCGAGGCCCGATGCACGAAATTTGTGTGTGTGGCGGGAGGGGGGTCCCTCAGCCCGGCCTGCACCCTCTTGAAATCTGGGACCCCTCACTCCTAACCTCCCGCCTGCTCTCTTCTTACCACTTGTCTTGCCACTCATTAGCACTGCCACGGAGCCGGGAGAGGCTCCTGCCTCCGCTGCTGTGCTCGCCAGCCATGAGCCTGGCTTCTGGCTGAGTACCAGTCCAGCTGTGGCAGTGAACTGACCACTGGGGGGCAGCTCCTGCATTGAGTGTCTGCTCCCTCATGGTCAGTGCGCCTCATAGTGACTCCCTCCAGTCATTCCGCCATAATGGTTGCTGGGCTTTTATTATATAGACTAGAGGCCCGGTGCACAAAAATTTGTGCACTCGGGGGGAGGAGGGGGTCCCTCAGCCTGGCCTGTGCCCTCTCGCAGTCTGGGACCCCTCGGGAGATAACGACCTGCTGGCTTAGGCCTGCTCCCGGGTGGCAGGGGGCAGGCCCAATCCCTAGGTGCAGCCCCTGGTCGGGCTCAGAGCAGGGCCAATTAGGGAGTTGGAGCGCCGCCCCCTGTCATGTGCAGAGCAGGGCGGATTAGGAGGTTGCGATGCCACCCTCAGTCACCCTCAGGGTAGGGCCGATTGGGGGTTGGGGCATTGCCCCCTGTCACACTCAAGGCAGGGTCGATGGGGAGGTAGCGGCGCCACCTCCTGTCATGCACAGAGCAGGGCCAATCAGGGGGTTGGGGCGCTGCCCCCTGTCACCCACTGAGCAGGGCCCATCAGGGGGTGGGGAGCTCACCCCTGTGATGCACAGAGTAGGGCCCATCAGGGGGTTGAGGAGCTCCCCCCTGTCACTCACAGAGTAGGGCCAATAGGGGAGTTGGGGTGCCGCCCCCTGTCACACACAGAGCAGGGCGGATCAGCGGGTTGGGGCACCACCCTCTATCACCCACAGGGCAGGGCCGATCAGGGGGGTGGGGCGCCGCCACTCTCACACTCAGGGCAGGGCCGATGGGGAGGCTATGGCTCTACCCCGTCACACACAGAGCAGGGCCCGTGGGGGCGGGGGTGGGTTGCCGCACCCTGTCACACACACAGCAGGGCCGATCAGGGGATTTGGGCGCTGCCCCCAGTCACACTGATCCCAGTGCCAGGAGGCCTCTCGGCTCTGCTGATCCCGGTGCTTGGAGGTATATTACCCTTTTACTATATAGCGTAGAGGCCTGGTGCACACATTGTGATTCTGTCTTCTTCTTGAGATAAGGGGGAAAAGCAGAAAAGTGAAAGGTCATAAGAGAGATAGGATTTGACCATAGGTGAAAAAAATCCACAATAGTAGTAATAATATGTGCCTGTTTAGAGAAACTAAAGAAAAGAGTCACAAATGAAATCATTTACATGTGGAGAAGAGAACAACACTTCAAAATTTTTTGATATTCCGTGCATTGAATATTGTGCTAAGGATTTTATATGCATCATACTTAATTCTATGTCAACATATGAGATGAGAAAACTGAATTTCAGATATGTTAAATGACTTGGTCACACTTTATTCAAAATTGTTGAACAGGTATATAAACCTAGGCCAGTCTGATTTCAAATTTCTTCTTTTTAACCATTATGTTTTATTACCTTACTAGAGGCCCGGTGCACAAAAATTTGTGCACTTGGGGGGGAGGGGGGTTCCTCAGCCCAGCCTGTGCCCTCTCGCAGTCTGGGACCCCTCGGGAGTAACGACCTGCTGGCTTAGGCCTGCTCCCGGGTGACAGAGGGCAGGCCCAATCCCTAGGTGCAGCCCCTGGTCGGGCTCAGAGCAGGGCCGATTGGGAGTTGGGGTGCCGCCCCCTGTCATGCACAGAGCAGGGCGGATCAGGAGGTTGTGATGCCACCCTCAGTCACGCTCAGGGTAGGGCC